TTTCCTTAAGAAGATCCATAAAATTTATATGCATGATATTTTTGATATTCTTTGAAATATTCATTCCCAAATAAGAAAATGTCTTAGTATTAATAAAGCCGAATGCTTCTTGATATAAATCTATATCTTGTTTTGGCAAATTATGTATATAACAGAAGTTTTTGTGTTATTTAGCTTGTAGTTTGAGACCGTACTGTACATCTGTATCTCTTCCATCACATTTGGGAGCGAGATTGACGGTTCACTTAGAAATAAAATAGCGTCGTCAGCATATAGCGATAATTTTATTTCTCTTTTATTTTGTTATGCATCCTTTAATCTTAGTATTTTGTCTGATATTACACGCCAGTACTTCCAGTGTCAATATATAAAGTATAGGGGATAAAGGGCCCATTTTTTAAGTTGAAGCAGTTTGAACACAAGCTTGGGCCTATTGTTCTAGCCATTGGAGATTTGTATAAGGCAAAAATAGCAGTTAGAAGCCATTCTTGTATACCTATTTCTTCTAATGTGCACTTCATAAAGTCCCAGCTGACCCTGTCAAAGGCCTTTTCGGCATCTAATGACAGGATCAGCATGGGACCTCTATTTGTTTGAGCTAAATCCAAGACATCTATTAATCTTCTAATGTTGTTATTTGCCATTCTATCTGGCACAAAGCCTGTTTGATCCTGATGGACCAGTTGGTTAAGAACTTTTTTAAGTCTTCCAGCAATTATAGAAGAGAATAACTTGATATCAACATTGATTAAAGATATTGGACGGTAACTTTTAACATTGGTAGGGTGGGTCTTTCCCTGGTTTCAATATTGGTATAATATTAGCTTTTATCATTTCACTTGGGAAACTACCTTTATTAACTACCAAATTAAACATATTTTTCAAATAAACCAATAATTGCATTTTCATTGACTTAAAAAATGTATTCCCAAAACCATCCGGGCCTGGATTTTTATAATTTTCAAGACTATCTATTGCTCTATTAATCTCTCTCAGCGGGATTTCGCTACGAATGTTATGGAACGGTTTTCAGCATGAGGTGACTGTGTGGTTCCCGGACAACTTGGTTTGGGGTTTTGAACCACCATGAAATCTGCCAGGAGAGTGCTTTTTGGAGGGAAGGTACCTGAGACTAAGGGGAAGAAATGCTACCCGAGAGCCAGGCAGAGCACCCCACACTGCGGACGCAGAAGCTCCCGAAACCAGTGGTGTTCCTGGTCGGAGGCCAATGTTAGGGTCAACGTCCAAGAAAGGGAGCAACGGGGCCACTGGGCCTACAAAGAGTCCCGGGGCAAAGCACCAGCCTGTTTGTCATGGGTGCCAGCGCCAGGGGCATTTTGTGAGAGACTGTCCCTCACGGGCCCGTGGATGTAATCTGTGGCTTTGAATACAGAGGTGGTTGTGAACCGTTCCACTCAAGCCACCATACACGAAGGTGGCACTCCCACTCTGGCAAAGGATCTGTATATTCTTCAGGAAGAGTCAGTGTGGAAAATCCTGGTTTGTCGATGGAAAAGCCTGTTACTATTTGTTCTATTGACAGCTGCAATAATCTTAGTGCCTTTCATTGTTTATCAAATGAAAAACTTGTCGCATCCACCTCATGATGTACTATTTATAGCTGCAGCAATATGCTCAAGTACCATTGCAGAGACCCTCCTTATTAAAGGACCACTATAGTGCCAGGAAAACATACTCGTGCCCCCACCCTCAGGGTCCCCCTCCCGCCCGGCTCTGGAAAGGGGAAAAGGGGTAAAACTTACCTTTTTCTAGCGCTGGGCGGGGAGCTCTCCTCTTCCGATCCTCCTCCGTTCCTCCCCGTCGGCTGAATGCGCACACGCGGCAAGAGCTGCGCGTGCATTCAGCCGGTCGCATGGGAAAGCATTATCAATGCTTTCCTATGGACGGTTACGTGCTCTCACTGTGATTTTCACAGTGAGAAGCACGCAAGCGCCTCTAGCGGCTGTCAATGAGACAGCTGCTAGAGGCTTTGGGGAAAGGCTTAACCCATTCATAAACATAGCAGTTTCTCTGAAACTGCTATGTGTATAAAAAAAATGGGTTAACCCTAGCTGGACCTGGCACCCAGACCACTTCATTAAGCTGAAGTGGTCTGGGTGCCTAGAGTGGTCCTTTAAGTATATTATATGGTACTACGTCAGTCAGTACAACAAGGCCAAGATGTCTTCCTATTCCATCAAACCAAAGACTATAAAACATGGGGATAGAGGTCTCCAGTGTCCAGCTGGTCAGACATCAACAGCTGTGGTAAACATGACTGAACAAGAAAACCAAAATGGAATCTTACAAAGTGACACTAATGATATGAAGCTTTCTGTATAATTCAAGGCAAAACCATGTTCAAAAATACCGGTTATAGTTATAAACAGAATTACTCTTAGTGACTCTTTTAGCTCCTGGACAGGACATTTTCCCTCCTGGCAATTTGGGTTACCATTACCAGGGCACACGAGGCTCAGTAGCTTAAAATAATTATATAGAGAAATCCCCAACACGGTTTACCATCCAATATCGCAAAGGCCTTTCACATGGCAATGCTGATGGACTGTCTGGGGCAGGCATAGGCAACCTTCGGCACTCCGGATGTTTTGGACTACACCTCCCATGATGCTTGAAAGGTAAATCTGCTAATCTGGTGACTCGGTCCCTCTGGTCACTATTCTCCAACCCTCGATTGTCAGCTGAATATTCAGGGAAGATTTTTATGGAAGCGTATTAACCAGACACACACTCTTTGCTTTCCATAATCTTCTGACAATGTATTCAAAATGCTCTGTACTTATACAATATTTGTCACGAATATTGGTTACAAAAGGTTGCAAAAAGGTTACACAAGATACATAAAAGAGGAAGTAGTTTCTGCTGTTACATTCAATAATCTAATCTTACAAAATATCACATATACATTGTGGTTAGGCATTTCCTGATACATAGAAACTGTCATAGCTTGTGACTTCCTCTCAGTTATGTTTTGCAAGCAGTTCTGAAAAGAGCTTGCTACTACATTTACAAAATAATTCAATTTATACAATACTGACAGATTAATTGTTTAACCCCTTAAGGACCAAATTTCTGGAATAAAAGGGAATCATGACATGTCATGTGTCCTTAAGGGGTCAATATTCCTTCAATGCTTTGCCAGCATTTTGGGCGTGAGAGCATTATTTGCCTGGCAGGTGCTGTTTGAAAATAATGGTTGTTGTTGTTTGTACCAAGATAGAAGCTGGTTGTCTTTTTCCTTGCTGTAAATATCCAATATCTGCTTTAATGTGAATGCTGGTGGATAAAAGGACGCTAAACCCAGGTCATAACACTTAGTATAGTGATCAGCTGTGGAAGTTAGTGGAAGTATCCACAGATGATATTAGTCTGTATCATCACAACAGGAAATATCAATCAAATAAGGTGACAGTGAGGCAGAGCTGGAGGAGAGAGTAGAGTGCTGCCCTTTAGGAGAGAGCAAGAGACAGGTATATGAGGTAGAGGTCATAAGCTTTCCTGAAGAGATGGGTTTTAAGGCACTTCTTAAAAGATTGAAGACTGGGGGAGAGTCTGATGGCGGTAGGCAGGCTATTCCATAGGAAGAGAGCCGCCCATGAGAACGTTAGTTGGTCGTAAGGGTGCGAGTAGCGGACAGAAGACGGTCACGGGCAGAGCAGAGAGATCGAGAAGGGGTATAAGGGACATACCTATGGATCTGTGAGAAGAGATATAAGAGGGGCTAGAATTGCTCAGTGCTTTATAGGTATGGGTTAGCACTTTGAATTGACTCCTATAGCATACAGGAAGCCAATGTAAGGACTGGCAGAGGGGTGAGGTGTGAGAGAACCGACTAGAGAGGAAAATCAGTCTGGCTGCGGCATTCATTACAGACTGTAGCGGGGCAATTAGGCTTTTGGGAAGACCAATCAGGAGAGGGTTACAATAATCCATGCTGGAAATTACTAGAGCATGGACATTAAAATCAGTTGTACTCCCAGAACTATGTGTCGTCTAGTTACTGGGAGGGGAAAGTACTAATTACTGCTAAGCACCTTATTCCAGCTCATGGAGGATCCAGCGGAGAAAGTTCTTGTAAGGCCTTGTAAGGACTAGGGGCTCCCAGGACTGTGTGTCATCCAGTTCCTGGGCAGGAATAGAGCTAGTCCCCTATCCTACTCCAGGACAGAGAGGCTCCAAGAAGACCCCAGTCAAGCCACGGCGACTGGGGCAGAAGCACTGAGGTTTTCTCCGGTTCCAGCTAGGAAGTGGTCTCTGATTTTGAGAGTTGAGTGGACACCTGGATGTTCGGGTTCGCCGGGTTCGTTCGAACTTTGGAAAAAAGTTTGAGTTCAGCACTCGAACTTGACCGCGAACCCCATTGAAGTCAATGGGGACCCGAACTTTTGGGCACTAAAATGGCTCTAAAAAAGTCCTGGAAAGGGCTAGAGTGATGCAAAAGGAAGTTAAATGGGGGGAAGAGTGGGACAAGTGACTCCCCCCCCCCCACCGGGCCCCCAACCCTGCGCTGCTGGTGGGGGCCGTACATAACAATGAGTGGGGGGGACCTACTGTCCTCCCGCCCCAGACCCCACCCCTGAGTGGTGGGTGGGAGCCCTAAATAAGAATGAAGGGGGGCCTACTGTCCACCCCCCGGCCCCCACCCCTGCGCGGCGGGTGGGGCCCTACATAACAATTTAGGGCCCCCACCCACCGCTCAGGGGTAGGGGCCGGGGGGGGGGGAGGACAATAGGTCCCCCCCTCATTCTTATTTAGGGTCCCCACCCACCGCTCAGGGGTGGGGGCCGGGGGGGAAAGGACAGTAGGTCACCCCCCCTTTTTTTTTTTAGGGCCCCCACCCACCATGCAGGGGTAGAGGCCAGGGGGGAGGACAATAGGTGTTCCCCCCCCCATTTTACTTTAGGGCCCCCACCCGCCGTTCAGGGGTGGGGGCCAATAGGTTTTTATTTTTTTAAATTTGTTTTACAGTGAGCAGCCACTGTTTACTAGACATGTTTAATAAGAGCTCATGTGACTCATATTGAGGCTGGGTCACATGCTGCACTGGCCAATAACAGCCATGCCATTAGTAGGCATGGCTGTGATGGCTTCTAAGGCACACAAGTCAAACGTTTGTTGATTGGCTGCCCTGCAGCTTTTCAAAACGCGCCATTAAATCACTGAACACCAAACTCAACTCTAGTCTCTGACGGAGGTATCCCGCCGGGGTACAGGGACCTCCGCTACATGTACCTTCCTCCTTCTCCTGGTGGCTGGGTGCGGAATCCGGCTCAGCAGCAGCACCATTGCAGAGGATTTGGCTGTCCCCCCGGTCTTAGTGCTGTCTCCCTCCGTCTTTAAAAAAAAAAAAAAAAAAAAGTGTGGTAGGACCAAGCCCCCACTGAACCCCATTTAGTTTTAACCCCTGCCGGACCACAGGAGTACTTTAACCCATGCCGGACCACCAGGGTGTTTTATCCTATCACGGACCACCAGGCAATTCTGGACCACCAGGGTATGTTGTTAGCCCCAGCTGGACCATAACCAAAAAGGTTAGAAGGAGGGAGGCCAAAGTGCCCTTACATACACAACAACCACCCCCATATTACAAACCGCACAGTCCCCAACACACACACATTACGCACAGCCTATACCCCCACCACATTACACAAAGCCAAAAAAAACTCCACACATTACACACAGCGCCCAACCATTCACACATGTTGCACACAGCCAACAAGCCCGCATACCTTACAAACAGCCAGCACACACCACACAGCCTTCAAACCTGCTTACCTTACAAACAGCCAGCACACACCCCACACACATTACACACAGGCAACAAACCTGCATACCTTACACACAGCCAGCACACACATTACACACAGCCTACAAACCTGCATACCTTATACACAGCCAGCACACACATTACACACATTACACACAGCCTGCTTACCTTACAAACAGCCAGCACACACCCCACACACATTACACACAGGCAACAAACCTGCTTACCTTACACACAGCCAGCACACACCCCACACACATTACACACAACCTACAAAGCTGCTTACCTTATACACAGCCAGCACACACTACACACATTACACACAGCCTACAAACATGCTTACCTTACACACAACCAGCATACCCCGCCAACATTACACACATCCTACAAAGCAGGTTACCTCTGCCAGGACACACCACACACATTACACTCAGCCTACAAACCAGGTTACCTTACAAACAGCTAGCACACACCACACACATTACACTCAGCCTACAAACCAGGTTACCTTACACACAGCTAGCACACACCACACACAGCCTACAAACCTGGTTACCTTACACAGTGCCAGCACAAACCACACACATTACACTCAGCCTACAAACCAGGTTACCTTACAAACAGCTAGCACACACCACACACAGCCTACAAACCTGGTTACCTTACACAGTGCCAGCACAAACCACACACATTACACACACCCTACAAACCAGGTTACCTTACACACAGCCAGCACACACCCTACACACCCTACAAACCTGCTTACCTTACACACAGCTAGCACACACCACACACACACACACACACGTTACACACAGGCAACAAACACACGTTATACACAGCCAACATACAACTAAAAACAGCCAGCGTGCACGCACACACACAAAACACACAGCCAGTACACTATGACTGAGTACAGGGGTAGAAACGATCTAATTAAAATAAATTTGTGGGTCAGGACAAGTAGCTTGTCATAAGTGACAATTACATTGGGCTACCACCTTAGTTCCTTGGACAAGTAAATGTTTTAAAAATTTCAACACACCTGTGTTTATAACATTACAGTGTTCCTGGACACTTCAAAGTTAAAATTTAAATAAAAACCATATTAAAACATCCATTGCTGCGACGGTCTCTTTCTCTTTCATAGAGAAACATTATCCTAATTATCCCAATCCTTTTCTATGATACAGTTTAGCTGCATTCGATGCTATTGTGCTGGGAGTGTGGACGGTGAAAGTAAAGGAGGAAGTGCTGTCAGATTGGAGCCGATTAGAGGCATCTTTAAGGCAAAATGTAAAAAAGGCTGTTTGTCTAAACTGATATTATATTATTTTACCAGAGTAAAGGGACTGCATCTAGGCACCAAAACTACTATGTTAACATGTAGTGGTTTTGGTGCTTGGAGTGTCCCTTTACCTGTTTAATTCATTGCGTGACATGTATGAAGATGTAAATGAACCAGGATTAATCGATGTTAAAGGATCGCTATAGGGTCAGGAACACAAACATGTATTCCTGACCCTATAGTGTTAAAACCACCATCTAGCCCCCCTGGGCCCCTCATGCCTCCCTAAATATAGCAAAGTCTTACTTGTATTTAAGCCTGAAGCTGTAGCTCTGCATGCGGTTTGCCTCAGTATAGCAAGCAGTCTGCTGACATCATCAGAAGTGGTGGCCTGATCCAATCACAATGCTTCTCCATAGGATTGGTTGAGACTGACAAAGAGGCAGATCAGAGGCAGAGCCAGCATGATTCAAACACAGTCCTGGCCAATCAGCATCTCCTCATAGAGATACATTGAATCAATGAATCTCTATGAGGAAAGTTCAGTGTCTGCATGCAGAGGGAGGATATACTGAATGTTTGGATGCATTTTAGGCAGCCATGACCCAGGAAGGATCTCTAACAGCCATCTGAGGAGTGGCCAGTAAAGTTATCACTAGGCTGTAATGTAAACACTACATTTTCTCTGAAAAGACAGTGTTTACAGCAAAAAGCCTGAAGGTAATGATTCTACTCACCAGAACAAATTCAACAAGCTGTAGTTGTTCTGGTGACTATAGTGTCCCTTTAAAGGACCACTATAGGAACCCAGACCACTTCAGCTTAATGATGTGGTCTGGGTGCCTGGTCCAGCTAGCTTTAACCCTTTTTTTTATAAATATAGCAGTTTCAGAGAAACTGCTACGTTTATAAATGGGTTAATCCAGCCTCTAGTGGCTGTCTCATTGACAGCCGCTAGAGGGCTTCCGCGCTTCTCACTGTGATTTTCCCAGTGAGAAGACGCCAGCGTCTATAGGAAAGCATTGTGAATGCTTTCCTATGGACTGGCTGAATGCATGCGCATTCAGCCGAAGAGGAGGAGGAGAGCTCCCCACCCGGCGCTGGAGAAAGAGGTAAGTTTAACCCCTTCCTCACCCTAGAGCCTGGCGGTAGGGGGACCCTGAGGGTGGGGGCACCCTCAGGGCACTATAGTGCCAGGAAAACAAGTATGTTTTCCTGGCACTATAGTGGTCCTTTAAAATAAGGGATGAAAGCAGAGTCCAGAGGGACTGAAAACGCTGAATATTTTATCAGTTGTTACAAACATTGATAAATTACCAAATGGCACCTACCACATTTTATAGTTACTAACCTCAACGACACAACCCTCGGACAGAACAACTATGATATCAGCATCCGCAATGGTGCTGAGTCTATGTGCAATCACCAGTACAGTGCGGCCTGAGGAGGCCCGATCCAGCGCCAACTGCACGGCGTGTTCAGACTCCGAGTCGAGAGCGCTCGTAGCCTCGTCTAATATAAGGATCCTTGGGTTCTTTAAAAGAGCGCGTGCAATAGCTACACGTTGCTTCTGTCCCCCTGAAAGTGTCACTCCGCGCTCCCCTAAACCAAAAAAAACACATTATATTAATGAACAAAAACTGCCAATGCTTAGGAAACAGTGTTTTCAAATAAAGACAAATCATTGGCAAATGTAAAATAGGAAAAGAGAAAAAATGGATCACATTAGGGGACAGAAACAAGACGAGAGACGATAAGTGAGCATTTCCTACCCAGCGTCGTCTTGTACCCATTAGGAAAGCTGCAGATAAAGCCGTCTGCATTTGCCTGTTTAGCGGCTTCATAGACTTCTTCATCCGTAGCGTCTGGCCGCCCAAATCGAATGTTCTCCATGATGCTCGTCCCAAACAGAACGGGCTCCTGAAAAACACGGTGCACAGATTGCACAAGATTTTTCCACCAAGTGCCCTATTACCATTATGCTATTGGTCCCCCCTAAAAATGCTAAGAAGTTTTACTCACCTTAAAGGACCACTCTAGGCACCCAGACCACTTCAGCTTAATGAAGTGGTCTGGGTTCCAGGTCCAGCTAGGGTTAACCCATTTTTTTTTATACACATAGCAGTTTCAGAGAAACTGCTATGTTTATGAATGGGTTAAGCCTTCCCCCAAAGCCTCTAGCGGCTGTCTCATTGACAGCCGCTAGAGGCGCTTGCGTGCTTCTCACTGTGAAAATCACAGTGAGAGCACGCAACCGTCCATACGAAAGCATTGATAATGCTTTCCCATGCGACCGGCTGAATGCACGCGCAGCTCTTGCCGCGTGTGCGCATTCAGCCGACGGGGAGGAACGGAGGAGGATCGGAAGAGGAGAGCTCCCCGCCCAGCGCTGGAAAAAGGTAAGTTTTACCCCTTTTCCCCTTTCCAGAGCCAGGCGGGAGGGGGACCCTGAGGGTGGGGGCACCCTCAGGGCACTATAGTGCCAGGAAAACGAGTATGTTTTCCTGGCACTATAGTGGTCCTTTAATCCAGCGCCGGGTGAGGTCTAATCAAAGCTGTCTCATAGACAAGCCTTTGGAGGATTTGAGCGGCACAAAACACATGCAGGTGATCGGAGTTCGCAATGGGAGGGGGAAACGAAGGAAAGAAGATTTTTAAATAACAAAGTGCGAGTGGAATTGGGAGGTGGGAGGGATTCCCTCTGTGTACGAGGGAGGGAGGGGAGGCTCAGCCTGCAAGAGAGAGGCAGTTCTGTCTGTCCCCAGCATGCAGTGCATGCTGACGGTAATGTCATTTATGCACAGAATTGATATTAGGCAACTTGGCACACAACTAAAAATATCTCTGGAGTACAGTGTTTCAGGCTGACTAATACCACCATGACCACTTCAAACAGCAGAAGTAACCCTTTAACTATGCACATAGAGCAGTAATAAGAGATAACATGATAAAGAATAAAGGGGATAATGGAGTGAAAGTCGGAAATGACAACTCAGAGTTTGTTGTTGTAAAGACACTGGAAACCCCCAGTGACAATAGCTCACCCCGCGTTTATTACAAAGAATATAAACCTACGGCCCCTATCCTCTACCTGGTTAATGAACCCAATGATTTCTCCTCGCAGCCACGATGGGTCCAGACTGCGAATGTCCACTCCATCCAGGTGAACCGCTCCCTGGTTCGGGTCGTAAAACCTCTCCAGGAGTGCAGCCACCGTGGACTTTCCTGGAAATGATTAAAAGAGACAATTTATATGTTGAGTTCTAGCCTAAATAAGGTATAATTTACACACACAGACGGAATGCTAGGGAGCCTAAAACAAACTTCTTTTGATTTAAAATGGAAACAGAAAAAAATTGAACATTGTGTGTAATCTAAATACAAAAAAACAAGTCCTGCGCTCCAACTCCCACTACTCCTGGGCGGCAGCAACAACCATAGTACACCCAATACATAAAGGAAAAACAAAAATTACAAAAAATGACCTGCCCTCTTTCCCAAATCCCTATGTATATTTAAACAAATGGAGGTTATTTAGTTACTCCAATGGCCATTAGAGGGAATGCATATTATATAAGGTATATATATTATATATGTATATAAAAAATACCCCTCTCTGTCTCATTGGAGATATCTTTGCCAGAAGCTCAGGGAAGCAAGGTGAAGGGTCAGAGTAGGACCTGTCTAGGGGGGTCTGCCTTGACGTTGGCAGGTGGGAATTCCTTCCAATGGCCATTGGAGCAACTAAATGACCTCCATTTGTTTAAATATACACAGGGATTAAGGAGAGAGCGCAGGTAACCTTTTTCTTTGGTTTTTATTGTGTGTAATATAGTATTAAGCTTTATACCACCACAGGCATTGAAGTGTTTTTGTAAAAACAAAGTTTATAAAATACATTTATAGGACAATCATAGAAGACAGTCCTGAGTCTAGAGACTGTATGTAGAGAGGATTTGGAGGAAATACACAAAGTGTCCACTAGATGTCTCCCCACACATAATGTGAAATCACAGAATGCTATGAAAGTTATTGATTCCGGAGTACATTCACACAACACGGACCCTAATATGCAGAAACAGGTTAATTCATCTATGGCCTATGTCCGTCATCAATACACCCTCATGTCCTCCATATATACCCATCTACATACCTCATGCCCTCCATATATACCCAACTACATACCCCATGTCCTCCATATATACCCATCTACATAACCCATACCCTCCATATATACCCATCTACATACCTCATGCCCTCCATATATACCCATCTACATACCCCATGCCCTCCATATATACCCAACTACATACCCCATGTCCTCCATATA